CGGCTTCGATGTCTCCTTCGGCGGTTGTGTTTCTCGGCGCCTAGTGGATGCGTGAAGGCGGATATCCCAGCTTGAAGTCGGAGCTGCTGCGTCGAGGACGTGGCTCGACAACGATGACACGCAGCGAGCCCCCCTTCATCTTAGGCTGGGACTCTACTGGGGTCAGTCGGAGCTGCTCTTGTTTGAGCTTGGCAACGATAACGAGTTGCGGCCTCGTGCTTCGGACTCGTCGGTAGGTGGCTCATGGTTGGCCTGCCATCGGAAGTCGGAGTTGCTGGGAGCTTTGCTCCAATGCTCGGCAACGATAACCCATAGCAGTGTGTTGTGTTCGTGAGCAATCGTGTTGCGTGGGGTGGTTAGCCACTCGAGACGTCTGTGGGCATGTCGTTTGACTAACCTTCTTGTACATAACTCTTTCGTCTTAATTGAGCGGCAGAGCTCCTGCCATTGTTTCAAAAAAAAAATCTAGTCGGTAACTTGACCAACCAAAAGCAAATTCAAACATTGGGTACAGAAAACCAAGTATTGCAAAGTGAACCGTCGTGAGTGATGGCAAGATGTACCATCAGCTGGTTGAACAAAAGCACCATTAGTGACCTGCTAGGAGTGATCAGATGTCACATGAAAGGAGGCTCCTGAACCAAGCACCCCAAGACGAAGCAGCACTAACAATCGAAATAGCAATAGACACTAAACCTATAGAAGTGGAATAGTAGAACTAGTACCACGACATTGACCACCAAGAGGAGCACGTTGTGCGATAATCAACCAACTTCTCCGGATGAAATACAATTTTCTAAAGGAGACTTATCTATTTGGCAACCTTGAAACAAATCGGTTGTTTCGTATTTAGGCACTTAAAAATTTGAACTCTTATCGGCACCTAGTTGAAATTTGCTTTTAAGTAAATGGCACTCTGTCCATTTAGGACACTAACGATGTCGGTGGTAGCAAAATGACATGAATACCCTTGTTCGCAAAGCGAAACCCACGGTGCCAAATAGGGAAATTCAAGTATTTTAAATTATGGACGATATTGCCCTCAACTACTTCCCTCATCCTAGTCACCGACGTAGGCCCCCCTCGTCATCCCCTTCCTCTGCTTTCGTACCAATGGTGGTTCTCCTTCCGTCCACGCCACCCTGCCTCCTCGGCCTCACCTCACTTTTGTGAAGGATGTCCAACAACACGAGAACGCTTGTAGGAGCAGCGGAAGCGAGCACGCGCATCGCAGCTTGCCACACCGCAGTTCTCCTGCACCTCGTCATTGCCGTCCGCGCCTCCCGGAGGGCCCGGAAGTGCCACGTTGAGGCACCGCTCCGCTGCCTCCTCGGCCTCACCTCCGCACTGAAGAAGGATGTCCAACAACGCGAGAACGTTGTAGGAGGCGAGCGCAGCACGCATCCGGCTTGCCTGGCAGCTTCTCCACGCACCTCGCCGCCATCCGCGCCTCCCGAAGGCCCGGAAGTGCCACGTTGAGGCACCGCTCCGCTCGAAGAGACCCTTCGTCGCCGCTGCCGCCGCCCCCCTTGCCATACCGACCTTCGCCATAGCGGCGCGAACGCTTCGCGCATCCGTGCGTGCGACGGCCGCCGCTTCACCGCGCGCCCGGCCCACGCCGACCGGCCGCTTTACCCGCAGCAGCACGCCACAGCCGGCCGCCGGCTTCGCCACACCGCCGCTGCGCGTTCACCACGCCGCCACCGCGATGGCGCACGCTTCAGCGCGCGTCCCATGTCCGCGACGGCCGCCATACGTCGTGTCCGCGATGGTAGCCGCTTCGCCGTCTGAGACCTCCACGGCGGCCTTGGCGCGCTCAAGCGGCATGCCATGGCCGCTGCCGCTTCGCCATGCCTCTGCCCCCACGCCGCCCCACGATGGCCGTGCACACACGCGGTTAGCCCACGTGGCGTGAGCTTCGCCACACCCGCCGCGCATGCCGCAGACCTGCGAGGAGGAGGCCGGACGACCACGGAGGACCCGGTCGGTACATTACGACGTTGGCGGCGGGAAGAACAGGAGGTCGGTCTCTAGCCTGTTGGCGCGGTGCCGCGATGTGACTTCGGCGCATGGTCGATGTCGCTCTTCCACCGGTGATCGCCACCGTGATGCCGCGAGCATCTCGCATCGTCTTGCATGCCGCCGCGAGCTACCAGGCGCCTCTCCGGTGCCTCAAGCCGACCCATCTGCTCGCAGCGATCTTAGAACCACCGGCATCTCGCATCGTGGCGTCGCAGCGCCACCGCAGCCTCCCAAGCACCGAGCTCCTCGCGGGTCGCCACGGCAAGCCCGCTCCCGGCCCGAACGTGAAGTTGTGAACAACCAGTGGTCGAGCTTCAACTTACGCACATGGCCGCCGCCCGGCACCGTCGTTGGAACCCGACTCCCCATTCCCCAACCTTACGTGGTGCTGCTCCTCCGCCGCCACCGGACTACTAGAGCCGAAGGAAGAGCGACAGTGGTGACAGATTGTCCCAAGAGCCGAGAGAAAGTACAGCCTTTGGACCTGATTTGGAGGGCTCAGACGGAGAGAAGATTACGTTGTAACTTTACCGAGCAAAGTCACTGAATCTCAATCCAAGAAGGTCTCGGGATCTCGGGATTACGGGACTTTGATAACAAAGGGGTACATTGGACATAGAGAGAAAAAACTGACACGGTCAAACCAGTCAAGTAACAGATGACCAATGAAAATGGACGGCAGTACCATTTAAGAAAGAAAAATTTAACTTGATGCCAAATAGGAAAGTTCAAATTTTAAGTGCCAAATACAAAACACCGATTTGTTTGGTGCCAAATAGATAATTCTCCCTTTTCTAAAAGATGGATGGTCCTATAGCACACGATGTACGGGGCTCTAGAGCAGTACTTTTTAGTGCACTAGTCCTTTGACAACTCTCTCGTCATCCTCGAAGCATGTTGTCTTTGGAAGCATCGGAATCAATGTGTCCTTAATGGCATAGCACCTAATCTAGGGGTGGTTTGGGTGCTCACTCTGAGAAAGAGCTTCATTTGTGGATGTTGGCTGGGGCTTGAGGGATGTCCTGCTTGTACACCTAGCCGGGGGGAAGCTTGAGCTCAAGTCGAGGAGCGACCTCACTAATTTTGACTAAAATGAATGAACAGTAGCCATATTACTGTTCATTTAATGGAGAATTAGTGGTGGCGGGGTGGCTGAGGCCCTCCTGGCCCCAACTAAGCTCGGCCCCGACCCTAGCCGATGTTGAGTCTCAATAGAGTTTGTGGTTAAGGTTGCTTTCTCTTTTAGCACTAGCGAGTCTCAGAACCTTTTGAACGCTACTTGGGTTCATTTCCCTCTTTTTCTTCTATAATATAATGATATGCAGCTCTCTCCTGCATTTTCGAGAAAAATAAACCAACACACTATGAGACACGGGAGAGACTCAAACGTGTTTCTTGTGCAAGTAAATCGAGACAATGCTAGTGCCATAGTGAGAGTAGATGCCAAAGGGTGCCTAGCTCAAGCAGTTAGGTGACCGGCGGCACTTCTCGAGTCTCGAGTTCGACTCCCGTGGGGAGCGAATTTCAGTTGAGGTTAAAAATCCCCTCGTCCGTCCCCATAATCAAAGCACTGGGGGCACCAGCCCAATTCTCACTTGGGCGACGGAAAGCCACCATGTAAGGGTGAAGGCGGGGAGTTCGGGGTTTTCTCGGTCGGGTGAGAGAAGGTTCGAGTTTTTTATAGTGAGAGTAGATGAATTATGAAGCGATTGTGTAGGAGTGGAATCATATTCAGCTTGTATACCCATGAAAAAACTATATGTAAATAGTGCGAGGCATGTTGCAATCAAATTCCACTTGTACATAATGAGGAATCGGATCACCAATCACAAGAACACCCCTCTGTCTTCTCTAGGAAGTTGATCTTTGGAGACGATGACAACCACCCTTAATCCACAACATAGAAAAATGAAGGCGCAGACAAAGGGAACCATGTAAGAAGGATGAGTGGGCGGACACTAAAAGGCACTTGTTTCCCACGAAACAGGCGGATGAACAACAAATCAATCCATGAAGAAGCGAAACCGAATGGTAAGCTGTGGAATATGGGGGCGAACAAGCGGCGGCGGCGAGATGGGGCAAATGAGCAACGACAAAGCGCACGGGTCCTCCGCGTGGACTGCCTGCAGACAAGGGCGTTGACGAGTGGACATGATTTGCAATCCAATGTGCGGTGAACACGGTCCTCGATGGGCCACGACTACAAGCGGGTGGAAGTTGTGAGATAGCAAGGGTTTCACACGTTAGGCCACAACTAATCGAAGAAGGCCGGTGACCGGCCGAGAAAGCACAGTAAAAAGAAAATTGAATCATGAGTGGATTAGATGAACCTAACCCAAACCCTAATCCATGGCTTTGTTATCATGTGACTAACCTTGGGGATTTCATAAGACCACTACTCTAGTAGTGGAGATGACAATATATATACAACCTCATGGGCCATATGGGCCTATAGATAGATGGGCCTTACACTTAATATGTGCATATGTCAACCCAATGGATTGAGCACTGATCTTAAGCAGTTGTAATATAAATAACATGGCCTAAACTTAAAAATCCAAATACAACCAAATTATCATGCAACATATTCACCTTAAATTGTTATGAGAAGCAGCTCACATACTAATGTTGGAAGACATGTTAATACATGCTCAAATACGAAATATCTCAAAAGTTCAAATATGAAATATCTCAAAAGTTACGTGCTGAGTAACATATTTTTCATAGAACTCATTCAACGTTAGCATCAAAATCAAAGGGACGATATTATATATAAAGAAAGACTAAACAGAAATTGCTACCAAGTAGACTAACCCTTTTGGCGACAAGATAACACAACTTCATGTAACCATGAGGAAACACCAGGAAAAAATCTCCTAAAGCTTTGAATCTTCTGTGCAGCTTCTTCAGTGCTGCACTCAAGTTGTTCTGCAAGGGAGTTTGCACCCATTCCGTAAAGGATGCCGTATATGAATCTTTTAGTGTTTTCTCTCTTTGGAAGATATCAAGGCCTCCTCTTTATCAGCCCATCTTGAAGCAATCATGGTAAAAACATCACCATCAGGTTTACTTAGAAGTTCAACCAACGTAGGATCTTTAGAAAAGTGAGCCATTAAACGCAACTCAATCTGTGAGTAATCAGCAGTTACGAATAACCAGTTCTCCTACAAAATAAGTAGATCATGACATTATCTAAAGCATTGTTACAGGAAAAATATCGTCAGCTATCCTAATTAAAGGAAAACTTAATAAATACATAAAAAAAGTGAAATGAGGAAAACCTTGGTCGGTATGAAAAAATCACGGGCATTGATTTTATGATGATAATCCACTGACACGCTTGAGTAATCTTTATCGCTTTTCCCTGTATCGAATTCCACCAAGTGCTCAACACACTACATAGTAACAGGGTAAATCAGTAGGTTATTCCTCAATAACAGAAATCCAAACAAAACACACAAAACATTTACTATGACTAAAGAACCTGCAGATTTGGCTCCTCCATGGACAAACGGCCAGTGGCAGTAGATGTCTGAAGCCAATTACCATGTATGATGTACCTTTGTGATTGAGTGCACAATTGAGCACGTGAGCAAATGGACCACAATGTGCCATTTAACAGTTTTGCTAATGTTCTGTGTTCCTTAATTACTGGGATAATTGGGTGTTGATCCCTGAGGAAACAGAAAAATTCAAAAATATTTTAGCAAAATGGACAATTAAAGTTCTACATTATTGGGATAATTGATAGAACCCTAAAGAGAGCATTATGTCCAGTTGATAAGGATTTTATAGTAAACTATAAAGCCACGGCAATTCTATGTCGAGGAAAATTTGGGGCCAAGTGAAATCGAAAGAGTGCCATAGATTTCAATCAAAAGGAAGGCCTGCTTGGCAAGGCAGTAGTCTTGCCTTGCTACAGATCTTCCGAGTGCATATAATAGGGACATCAGCAGCAGCCCATAAACTGAAAATAAGGTAAACAAAGGGGTGACAGTGATACATGTGCTTCCCTTTGGCATAAGCTTTTCCAAATAAAAGAAATTATTTGAACATGCAATGAAAATGCACGTATTTAGTTAGGGATGAAAAATGAGTTAATCCCGTTAATTGACTCCAAAAAACAGAAAAAGAGTGCATATTAGCACAATGATATTCTAAAAGCATGTCCAGAAGATGATCAAATGATAATAAAATGTGGCCCCACCAGCACTTTTCTAGCTCTCATAAAGACAACATAATAATTTACCTTTACTCACACAGAACTACCACCGGACCATCACTGACTAGACACCAGATATACTAAAAAGGGGCAGACCCAGTGCCGGAGGCTCCCACATGAGTGAGGTCTGGGGAAGGGAAAAACCGAGGCAAGCCTTCCCCCCGCAAAATATGCGGAGAGGCTGCTTCGAACCCGCGACCTGGTGACTCAGTGAGACAGCTCTCACCACTGCACCAGGCCTGCCCTTCAAATGGCCGGATATACTGACACATTTAAAAATTTTCCATACATAATGTCTGGATATAAAATGGCACACAAGTACTTCCAAAGAACCCGATTTTTTTTTTTTTTGAAACAGCAGGAGAGCTACGTTTCATTGTATTATAGAGATGAAAGGGGTGGGGGGGGTCCCAACAGGATCCTCACTCATACGGGGACCAAATATGAGTGAGGCAATTACATAGCCTTAAGGTTTAAACACATAGTGGACAATATGACTCGACCTTAACACAAAAAGACCTAGTCTGCAAGCGCGAGACCTAACCCCTGTAATTTTCTCGCCCCAGCCATGTGCTCATTTTTCAGCTCACTCCAAATCATGTTAAGCGAAGGAGAAGCCCCCTCAAAAACACATGCATTCCTATGCTTCCAAATAATCCAGGCCCCTAAAATAATTAAAGTGTTCACTCCTTTCCGTGCTCCTTGCTAACTCTGCTCATCGTCGTGCGCCACCAGTCAGCAAAGCTCAGTTCATTTTGTCGGGGGACTGAATCTGCTAGGTTCAGTGGAGTGAATAATCTGAACCAAACTTGTCTTGCCACCATGCATGTTGTTAAAAGATGTTGTATTGTCTCATCTTCTTGATCACATAGCGGGCATTTATCCGGATGAGAGAGGCCCCTCTTAGCAAGCCTATCTGCCGTCCAACATCTATTTCGATTGCCAACCACAAAAACATTTTGCATTTGGCAGGGGCCCAAGTCTTCCATAGTCGACGCCAAGGCTCAAAGGTCACAGCACCAAAGAACCAGAAATGACATTTTTGATGTTCAGAATTAACAGGAGGGAAAAAAAGAAAAATACCTTAGATGGTCCAAAGACTGCTTGTCAGTGCTAGGATGCAGCTTCCCTTTCTCACAGCCTTTTGGAACTGGCAATTTTAGGTGTGTATATAGAATGTCTGCGATATCAGCAGTAGCATTTAGAGAGAAATTCTTGCCTGCTAATCTGTAAGCTTCTTTCTCTAGTTCCTTCAGCTTTTTTGTTATAATATGCCTCGCACGGAGACAAGCATCCATGTCAGCGCCAATTCCCCAAAGTTCCATATCAGCAAGAACATTAACCTGTCAAAATAAATGCATAAGAGATATTCAAGCATAATACAAGCAGCAATATTGTATTCCGATCACAAGAGAGTGTCATTTTGGATATCAACACGGGTACTAATAGGATGATTTGACTGCTATACTACTATGAAGTGTATGAAACTATAGCAAAGTTGTAATGTTTTGAACTACTTTCCAAAAGGAATCTAGTTGCGCCATTTTCAGATATTCAATCCAAAGCATCAAAGTTTAAACAAGTTAACCGCATGCAACCCAAAATGACACTTTTGTTATAATTGGAGAGAGTATTACGTAAGAATAGGAATTGTACCAACGGGGCCTCAATTGTTTCAACCAAATCAGAAAGATTTTGAGTAAGTAATTTCTTCAGAACAGTATACAAAGCTCGTGTCTGTGCAGCACGTCTACAGCATCCATTGTGTGCTGCTTTGTGCATCTGATTTCTCCATCTTCCATCGCGATTTGCAGCAGCAGCAGCTTCACTATGAAGTCGTCTCTTGACAAACTGTTTATCACAAAGGATGAAAATAAAAAAGTACTACATTATCAGAAATAGCTCAGCATCAAAATTAACAGATGTGTATTGCTATTGCAAAGTTCAGAAGAAATCAGACATAAAAAATGAGCATGAAGGGACAGTGCATCAGCAATGAAAAGCTAAAGGTATTGCAGAACATGACATATATGATATACCTTCTCAAGATTTGGTACCGTTCTGCTTTCCTCATCAGGCCATAGAACCCACGCCAGCAGACATATATCCAATCCATTGTAGACAGAGATTGGTGATAACAACATATATGAGTTGTCAAGCACTTCAACTTTGTCCAGCATTTTATGGTCAAGATGAAACCTTTCAAGCCGTTGGCAAGAGATATAAGGTGATTTAAGTGCCTGAATCTGGATCTTTAAATTCCATGTCATTTTCTGGACACTCTTTTGTTGCATAATGTCCGTTATTTTTTCCCATCTTCTCTGAAAATAACCCCACATTTCCCTGAAGTCATTGTTACCAGTAGTGACTAGATCTTTTGGGAAGTTGCAGTAGTATATGGGGGAATTTTCCCAACAGACAGCCAACCCAAAAACTTCAAAAAGGTTCGAAGATGGTTTCAGCGATCTCTTGATAAAATGGACATCGAAGAAAAATTTGCTAGCAGCAGACCATTGATCAAGAAAACAGTCAAAACCCCCTGGAAAGTTATATGCATGGACAGGGCCTTTGTCAGCCACATCTCTACTACTCAATCCATCAGCAATTTCTGTTGACAAAGATGCTGCTGCTCCCTGTCTAGTGATTTTCACATTTTTAGATAGTTCTGCATTCTCTTTCATTTGAATGGAAGGAGCAGGGTTTGCGTCCTTTCTTAGACTGTATGTAGAAGCCCTTGGGGTAGCATAATCAGAGCAGTTATTCTTATTTTTATCATCTCTAGCATGGGTACCAAAAGCTAGCTTGTTGGACTTAGCTTGGTCTATGGTATCTCGAGTTGGATAGTCCTCAATAGCTGCGAGTGGAGGTGCAGTGAACTGAGGAACTTCCACACCAAGTGACTTGAAAGCTGAGAATGCTGCTACTCTGGCAGCTTCTGCCTCCTCCAGGACAATTTTGCGAGCTCCATTTTTTATTTTCTTGGCTATACCAAATTGCATTAAATAAGAAACCAGAGTCTAGTCAATTCAACAGATTGACATTAGAGTAGGCTTAAAACAAACAACAAAGTATCTGCAAGCTTATTACTGAACATATCCAGAAGCAACTGAGAAACTAATTTGTGCATCTGTAACACTACTACTACTACTATTGCTACACTTATTGCTACCACCACTGCTAATGTCAACAATTAGATCCTTAGAAAACAAGTACACGAAGAAGGGTAGCAAGGAAAAGATCAAACCATGAATGCTTGAAAGAGTACCTTGCCCAGACCAACCAGAAGATTCAAAAGAGCTTTTGCAATTTCAGGAATAGATGCTTCAGCAATGGCAACAGGAGTCATGAGACCAGACTTGTACAAAGCCCTTGCACGTGAGCCCTATTTCATATTTTACATTACCATACTGAAATAAGATGCAGCGACACTTAGATAATTCAAACATGCATGGTAATTGAAGCACACCTTGACAAATGGAATTGATGTCAGTTCTGCAATCTCTGCCCTAACTCCAAAAGAGACACGATTTTGGAATTTCGAAACAAGGCCTTCTAAATCATTCCAACCAAGTCTTTGACAAAATGCAGAAACCATTGAAGCAAACCTGCCAGCATTTTCCTGCAGTGCCTGAATCATACCTCTGGCGACCTTAAATGTCTCACAAACATCAGCAATAGGAATCTCCTGAAAGAAGCATTACAAGAGAACAGTACAATCTTTTCAAGGAAACAAGATGGAAACACCACAACATGGAATAAAAGATAAACAAACAAAATACAGGAGAAGAAATTGACAATACCACAACGAACAATTCCTAATGGCTATATTACAAAACAAACTTACATTAAGGTGCTGTTTGTTTCAAAGTTGTAAATGGTAACGTAAATGGGACCACGTCACGGCGCAAATAGTTCCGCGTAATTGATACCGTTGATTTGTTTGTTTCGATGAGTGCGCAAGGGAGCATGGAACTGGATCCGTTACCGCTCCATGCTGAGTGGGATCTGCGTTCTATGGGCCCGGAACGGTTGCCGCTGTTATCCATTATGGACCACGCAAAACCAAACGCAAAGAAGTGCAATTAGATTGAGGCGTGAACTGGTTACGGGCCAAGAACCGCAAACCAAACAGCACCTAAGACCATTACAATACACAACTTGGACATAATTTAATCTGCTTGTGCAAAGTGCATATGAAATACATATCAGACATTCTCTATTGGATCGCAACTAGAGGAGGGTGATGAGTGGAGTTGCTAAGACTGAATACAGGTTCAGTTCTGAACCAAATAGCTTAGCTTCTTCATACTGCACATAGATATTTTCATAGTAGAGTTAAACACACCAGCAGTCACGAACAGCCTGTTGTGGACACTTGTGAGCAAGAAGAGCAAGCCGGCGTCCATAACACCAAGTGGATAACAGCCACACCTAATTAGTTGGCGAGTTTGTTGAGTCTTTCCTTAGTTATGCATGGCGCTTAGTTGGAAGGCTAGGAGGAATAATAGGAAAGAAGACAGAAATTCTAGGAGAGTGGTTAGCCTCTAAGCCTATTTATCTGTAAACCGAATGTGACTAGGGGTTAAGCAAGAAGTGAGTTATTATGACCAGAGCCTCCTAGGGAGGTTGATCAGGCTCATTTCCTTGCCATTGTTTCAATAAAGCCAACAATCCAGCCAAATCACCTTTGCAAAGACACTTTTCTGTGACCTGTTCATGGCCGACTCCATCACCGCCGTGGACTTCAAGTCCACGATGGACAAGTTCTTCGCTGATTTCTCCTTCATCAAGGGCCGAAATGGCGACAATGAAGGGAGCGACCAGAGCCACTTGACAGTGGCAACCAATCAGCTGCAGACAGAAAAGATTGAATTGAGAGGCTCTGGCGGCGGCACGAACAAGGTGAAGATTAGCACCAACCTCCGCCCCACCTCCCAACCCACCCACTGCTGTGTTTTCCACACTACGATGGCGCCACCGATCCGGTGGTCTGGGTCCACAAGGCAGAACAATTTTTCCACACCCATAGCTCACCTTCTACGTGGAGGGTGCTGCTGAGGACTGGTACTATGCCAGCAACAGAATCACGGCCCCACCTGGCGGAGTCCACTGACCGGGTGTAACACCGTTTTGGCCCCCCGGTGCGCAGCAACTCCCTCGGCGCCCATATGAAGTTGCGCTCACCAGGGGCAGTTCCTTCCCATGTTGGCAAGCTGCAAGAATGTCACGGAGCAGCAGCAGATCGACATCTTCACTCCTGGCCTCCGCAACCCACTTCCGACCAATGTGGAGCTCAAGATCCCAAGTCTCACGAGCGATGCTATAGGCCTCACATCGTGCATTTGAGCGTCGCCTAAAACCGGACAACGATGATGACCTCAGCGCCACCCATGTGCCTCCATGGCCCACGCCGATGCAGCGCCAAGCGCATAAGCGCGGCGGCGCCACAAGCAGCGCACACCAGCCCAGCCCGCCAAGGCACCGATCCGGACTCCACCGCCCCGACGAAGAAGCGCGCATCAAGCGGGACGCTTGCTTCAAGCGGCTCACCCGCAGAGAGCTGGCCCAATGCCGCAGACATCCCCGCTTCAACTACCCAAAGAAATTCACCAAGGACCATCACAAGTCCTGCTCGATGAAGGGAGTTGGATGGCGAGGCTCTGGTCGGCGGTGCGGTGGAAGATGACCCAAGTTCTGACGACGACGTCGAAATCTCCCTCCACGCCTTCACCGGCATTGTCACGGCGGACACTATGCACCTACGGTTTCCATCGCCATACCAAGCATTGCGTGCCTTGGTGGACTCGGCTCCACCCACTCCTTTGTGGTGTCCACCACAAAGACACCGCCTCAGCCTTGAGTTAGAGCCATGCCCAGATCTCACCGTGAGCATCACCAATGGCGATCACATTAGTTGTAATCATCGGAGAGCGTATGATGAGACCGTGCACATGGCCATCGGAGAGCGTATGATGAGACCGTGCCAAGGCAATCAACATTCACCATTAGTTGTAATCATCGATTCAAGGTGAAAGCTAAACTTTATTCCAAATCCTTTTGGTTTCCACCTCCAAGGCTGCTACTTGGTTTATATGATTATAGATTCAAACACCTTGATGTGATGGAAGGAGAAAATTGTGATGTTATCACAAACCTACAAGTCGACGGCCTAGCACAATTTTTTGGATTGGAAGAGTCGAGGACGACTCCTTTTCAAGAGGAGGATGATGAAGGACATGCCACCGGTTACTCAAGTTACACATAAGCAAGTGTATGAAGGGCCAATTACGCGTAGCCATGCAAAAGTACTCAAAAAAGAGGTGAACTCACTCCTAGCTGAAATTAACTACAATATACATGAGAATACTATACTACCTAAGTGTTCTACTTTGGTTGTACTTAGGTATACAAATAAAGAGGAGGATGTTGCTCTACGTCGGACCAGCACAGTGAAAAACGGACCATCAGTTCGCACCAGCACAGTGAAGATGGACCAGCTGAAAGAAATATTCATAAATCTCGATTCCCTAAAGCTTTGGAGGTCCATGAGGACATTTTGGAAAGCTTATCAAGCCTAGTTTCCAATGGCACCAGTTCCAAGTATTTTGGAATTCCCAATTTTGAGATATGAACAGATTAGTGAAGACTGCTCAGAAGGTAAACAGTCTTCCCAGAACAGAATGTTGGTACAACTTCCCGTTTTGTACCATTCTACAGCGTTTCATGATGCATGCTACACATGGCTGGAAAGCTTATCGAATTTACTTTCACACCCAACAAACGGCTCGTCATTTCGACTTCCCAATAAAGAGTTATGGTAAGATTAGTAGAGACTGCTCAGGAGGCCAATAGTCACGCAAGACCACTTCGGGAATCCATCTCGTGGTGAACTTTCACATAGCCTATCTTCAGAAACTCCATTTCGTTTTCACACCTACCTAGGAGGGTTGTTCCTAGTATAAGTATCCCCTGCCTCTAAGCTATTAGAAACCTTTTGATGAATTGATAAACCGCATGATATTGCAGCCGAGCTGCTGAGTGTCTTACTCAAACCTTTGTTCCTCCTTGTTCTTCTTGGACTTGTGAAGAGATTCCTCTAGAATCCCCTGTTTCGTGCTCTACGGTTTCCAGTACGGCTACACCGTTTTGTGTGGATTAGTTCCGGATTGTGGTTCTGCGGTCGTTCGGAGATCGAGTCGAAGTCTTCACGGTTTCGGTACCTCTCTCCCTGTCACTTGGTCGCATCCAACCTTGGACAGGTATAAAGCTAGTTACTCTGTTGTTCGCAGCAAGTTATCTTTCGTTCTTCGACCTACTGTCATGAAGATCGGGCCACCCTCAAGGAGATTCCTTATCAGCGTATCTACATCGACCTCTACGTCCTACCCCTCGATGACTATGGGCTGGTCCTTGGCTGCTAGTGGCTCAAGATGCTCGGCCCACACTATGGGACATTGAGAGCAATTCTATGGCGTTCTGGCGCGGCGCTCACCTCATCAAGTGGCGTGGCCTAGATGCTCCAAGCATGCCCCAGCTCAACGCCATGGAGCGGCTGGACATGATGTCGCTCCTCCTAGCAGAGTTCTCTGACGTCCGACCTCTTTGCGGAACCGACCGGCCTGCCACCATGACACCTAGACAACCGCATTACGTTGCTGCCAGGTACAACAATCGCGGTGCACCCTACGCAAGGACACGAGTGGCGTTTACGCATCAACTATCGCACCTCAACACCAAGATCAGGCGCTACAAGCTCAAGGGGCACCTTCTTCACTAAGGTCCGTGATGCACCGGGCGAACATCGACAAGACAGCATTCTACACGCATCATGGACACTTCAAGTTCATCGTAATGTCCTTCAACCTGTCCAACATGCCCTCTACGTTCCAGGCATTGATGAACCAGGTCCTTTGGCCCATCCTCCACCACTTGGTACTCATTTTCTTTGACGACATCTTGATTTCTAGTTTATCCCTTGATCAAAACACTTGCAACATGTGCGAAATGCCGTCTACACCCACCGCGCCCACAAGCTCCTCAAGCGCTCCAAGTGCTCCTTCGCCGAGCACAGCGTGGCATATTTAGGCCATGCCATGGACCCGACCAAGGTGGAGGCCGTTCAACAATGGCCTCAACCCTGGGCTCTCAAGGTGTTGCGGGGCTTCCTCGGCCCCACGGGCTACTATCGCCGCTTGATCGCTGAATTCACGGTGTGATAGCCACCCATTGACGGTGCTCTCAAGGACGCCTTCCGCTGGTCCCCTTGTGGCCTCGGATGCTATCATGGCGCTGAAGTTAGCCCCCACATCTAGCCCTGCTCTATAGTGACTTCTCCAAGGGGTTCACCGTCAACTGTGACGCCTTGGGCTCTGCGTTCGGTGCCGTCCTCTAGCTCTTCAAAGAAGGCCATCACGTCAGTAGCATGCCAAATTGGCAACCAATGAGCACAAGCTCACTAGTCCGGTCAAGACGAGGTCCAAGATGCGTAATGTGGTGGTGAAGACGAGGTCCAAGGTGGTGCCAAGATATACTCGGCGCATGATGAGCACGCGTGGCCCCTCCCTTGTTTGACTTCCACTTGAGCTCGCCATGGCAACGAGGACGGAGCTGCATTAAATTGACAACACCGATGGTGGAGTGAGGCTTCATGTCATTGGTACCGGTAGGCGATGAACGTGCCTGCCTTTCACACGCGTCGCCGCCTTTTTGACCCAAGACACCAACCCGAATATAGCGAGGAGGCTAGACCTACCAAGGAGGCGCCTTAGGTGCACCTCAAAGATTTGACTGGAGACTACAAAGGGCACCTTGGTAGTCCGTGCTCGCAGATGGCACCTTGGTAGTCATTGTTGGCAGAGGGAGAGGTGCAGATGCTAGGAGTGGAAGAATAAAGAGCAGAGAGAGGCACGAGGTCAACACAACACCATATAGGAAATTGGTGCTGAAATGGACCATGTGGATTTCATGGTGGACCACAACTCACAAATTTAGTTATCATGTAAATGCATTTTCAGGAGTTCGTGGACCCAAGTGGCAAACTATGACATGTGTTTAACTCTTCATATAGCGCATAGATCCTCCTATGGCTGTTGTCTAGAAAAATCAGAAATTGGATACTCCTAGGCAGCTGCTAGCCTTAGTGCCTAAGAAAGCAAACCAACATATCCTCCTACTGCTGTTCCACACTAGCAAAGTCAAAATTGGCTGCTTCTTACAAGCTATCAGATAGTAGAGCAGTAGCGAATCTTCTTATCCAAGCAAAACAGCAGACTATGTCTATAGGAACCAACCTATAATACTATGTCGGGTAATGCTTTTTCGGGACCAAAATCGGGTAGCAATTTCAAGTGCCTGAAATTTTCGAGTTCCCCGAATGCCCACCCCAGGGTCTTGGTTTGATGCAAAAGGTGTGTTGGGTGTGTTGTAACATATTTCGGTACGAGTTTGTACGAGTGTACATGTGTGAGCGTGGTGGGTGTGTTGTAACTTATTTATTTATCCCCTTCTTAATGAAATGATACGCAACTCTCCCGTGTATTCTACAAAAATAAAAAAACATGAACTAATATTTTAATTGGCCATCTATAATGAGAAAACATTTCAACCTTTATTTCCCTATTGAACTAATTTTTATGTTTAGCAACTTAAGCTTTCTACCGATCTTGAGCACTATGAATTGACATAGAAATAACACGCAATGTCTCAATAGTTCTTAGATTATACCTGAGCAAGCCTCGATAACATCAAAGCCACATAAAAGCGCTTTGACACTGGAGAGTATGCTCACTAACAAGAGCATTTCCACCGGCTTGTGCTGACTTGTTACTTAAACCAGTGTTTCTCTGAGGCCTTCCACAAACAGGCATTGACGCCCATGAGCCATGTGCATCAAGAAGGGTTCATTACTCCAACCCGATTGCCTACTGACTGCATTGACCAACAAAACAAACAGAAATTGAAAAAAATGAGAGAAATTGTGTGTTCTATGAACTGAAATTGATAATGTAAGTAATGGTTTGATTTCTCAACCAATATGGTAAACTTCAGAAAGATACGGTGTCACGAGCATACTGCCTGGTGGCCATGCGACAAAGCCAGTGTTAAGGAGGGAGATAGCCAGATAGGAACTGTTGATCTATCTATTTCTTACTTAATTCAAAGTAGATACAATCCCATTGCAATATAGATGTGGAGACTTGATCCTCAATAACCACTCTCTAGCGCTAAGGAAATAGCCAACAAGTCAACCCGATCTAATCTAATGTCTATCTTAACAAACCCCGGACACAGCATGAATGGTAACGCATCTACTTTTCGCATGAACAGTGCACAGGCCCCAAAAGGTCTGCGACTAACCCTTCATCATTTAGGCCTTAATAGGGTAGACATGGCATACAGTTATAAACATTTTTGGCACTGTAATGATAACACCACTGATAAAAGATTAATGTTCTGCAGAAAACATGTTATCATGTCAGTTGTTCCGCTTTTTTGTTGGGCCAAAGAAAACATGGGGATTGCAAAAAGCTAATAAGAACTGCCAAGTCCTAAAAAGAATCTTATGAACCATGTCAAATAATATATGAAGTAGTAAACTGCAACCAAGTACAGCGCGAAAGAGTCCAATTAATATATGTATGTTTTAGTCTGATTCATGGTTATGTAAAAATACCAAAACAGATTTCACACATTCCATTTTTTTTTGTTAAAATAACAGGCACTGAATTGAAAGAATAA